CTTCCCCCCCCACCAACCGCCATCCTCCTCCTACTGCCCCCAGCGCGGCCCGCCGTGGAGCCGCCGCCGCCGTGCTCCTCACTGGGCAGAAGTTCCTCGGCGAGGCGGTGGGGGTTAGTTAAAGGCGTGATGAAAATGAGAGAAGGAAGGTTTAAGAACTGCCTGTCGAAACTGGCCGTCGTCGGGGACGGCAGAAAACCGACAGCCGCTTTGTCGGAATAGCTCGTTAGGGTGCCCGTCGGCCCGGCTCCTGTTTTGGTTCTCTTTATAAGCGCGTGCCTTCGGGAGGAAGGTGTGGTGGGCTGATTACGTTATTAAAGGAAAAATCCCTAGTCTGCGGTGCTTCACCAGCGGAATTTTCCTGCAATGCGCTTGTTTTCGGCCCATGCTCATTAAACAAACTTTGCGTGTACTTTATTCACGCCAGGCACGGTGAGTGTGACCGCAGGAAATGTTTTAGAGGGCAGAGGGTATAAGCTCAGCATCCCCTGTGTTAAGCAGTGCTCCTGATGCCTGGATGTAAGCATGGAGCCCCCCCGCACTCCCCTATTCTCAGCAATAACTTAATAGTAGTACTGTAATAGTAGTGCTACAACTTACTATGAATAAATTGTAAGTCCTGCTTCTCGTTATTTTGAACAAATTAGACTACACCATGAAGCAAACAAAGCATGTTTTGTAGTGCATTCTGCCTGTGCGCGTGTGTTTGTGATACCCATCCAACCTGCGTTTTCAGGTTACTTGTTCACACTAGGAGAAGTTCTGTAAGGATTTTAGGGGGAGATTTAAGTAAGGAGGAAGGGAAACTTTTTATTTAATAACCAACAGGGCAAAATTAAATACAGATTTCAGGTAAGAATCAAAAAATAAATTTTAACCCTATTTTTTAAATCCATTTGTGAGCTCAAAGTCATGCCACTGAAGCCTGATATTCTTTTTCAGCATTTTACTAGGGGAAAATATGCTTTCACATGAAGTCTTACGTTTTTTGATAACTTACAACTTGAGTAGTTACGTGACGGTAATACTGCACATTATACTGTGCAAACAAACACCTGTGATGAGTTTTAAACTTTCTGGAGGCCCATGTTGCAGTTGGAGTTTGCTTGCTCAGTTATATATTCAGCTCTCAGGCACAAAATCACTCAGTTATACAAACAGAAAATTCTGGTTTTCTGCTTTTTTTTCTGCAGCCAGAATTAGGCTTTTTACCTGGTCTAGTTTCTTCTTTACAGCTTTTCACCTGATTATTCACTGCTTTATGATTGCTGTCTGTTTTATATAAAAGTGTCTGGAATTCCCAGAAGCTTTGGATTATTTCTGCGAGACAAGAACATAATTATGTGCAGTAGAATGAGTGGCTTAATGGAATATTTTTGCCGATATAAGGGCTTAAAAAGAAAAAAAAAACACAGACATGGACCAGAATAACATCAGTTTAGAGTAAAAAATTCTGGAGTCTGTCTTCAGTACCATCATGTGAGCTAATGTGACACTACATGACTCAGTTTACCAGCTGGAGCGTGTGGCGTGATGACATTTATTTCAAAAACTCTTGGGAAATATATTTTAAATTTGTGAGGAGTTTTGTCGTCTGTGGGTGAAAATTATTGTGTGTCTGCAAAGCAGAATTGTTAAACCCGCCTTTGGGGTTGTTCTCCCTTTCTTACACTTTACAGAAAGTGTAGGTAGGGAAAGGAAGGGGGAAAAAACATCATGAGGGATTGGTAACAGGGTGGAAGTACTAATGCATGGTAGTCTTCTTTTTGTACCTGCATGTTGGGCTGTTTCCCTTAGCGCATACACTATGTTGGCCCCAGAGCATCTGTGTACACAGCACTTTCGGATGCATTTGATACGTAATACTATCTGTTCCTATTTTTTTCAGAGGTCATTGTGCAGACATAGGGAAGATGTCTGACGAAGCAGAAATCATTTACTCTGTAGAAAATAAAAGTACTTGTTTACAAAAATGAAAATTAAGCTAATCCAAATAATAACTGAGATTTAGTGTCCTTATCAACTGAATGAAGTATGCTCAAGGGACCTTTACAATTTCTCTCCATCACCGTGAACAGTATTTATGTTACAGTGATTCCTCATCCCCTTTACTGTTGTTGTCATCTTCTGGCTCCTACAACAAGAATGATGTAGATGCTTCTGTGATACTATATGTCATGATTATTAACTAAGATGCTCCTAGAGTCTATCTGCTGTTTGTGAAGAATGCTGTGCAGAGAATAATACTAGAAGGCAAAAACCTTTGAAGAGCGGGTTACGCAGCAGTGTTAGTGATCTTGCTGCACTTGCACTGTCCGTCTCCCCTCCTCCCCCCGCCCTTAAATTGTATCTGAACCATTGACCAAGGATAGTATTTGTTAATTCAATCATAGTTAGGGTGACAATCTTGTCAGGACAAAAACTATCTAAAAATAACTGGCCGTATGGGATTTCCTTGGAATAGTGCAGAGCATCCACAAAACATCTTCGTTAACAAGCAAAACAAATCATTTTTGACAACAACCTGTGATGCACTTTCCATGGCTTGTCTTGTACTGGCGTACTCTGAAGTTCCCTAACTACTTGTTTCACTGTTTAGAGTGCTTTCAG